AGTAAATGTATCGAATTCGGTCACGTTTTTGATCGACTACCTTCCCTGATCACAATTTTCTTTTTTGGTCTTGCCTTGCAGTTAGACTCTTCGGGAGGGTTGTTAACGTGTTCCTCGTCGCGATAAATGACTAGTTTTGGCGCTCTCAGTCGCGGCGTAAATGGTCACAATTTTCGCGCAAAAAAAATGTGCGAAAGCAACCTCCAGTGTGAATGAACCATGTGACGAGAAAAATTGCGTTAAAAACCGCTTCTCTCCCTATTAAGGATCTCATAAATTATCTCCGTCCCCAGACAGATCTTATTCCTCATGTCTTCACAAATTCTAATTGATTCATTTCTGTAAAAATTTCCGAGATTTCGTGAAATTTTGTCTGAACTTCCCACAAACTCTAGGTTTTGCCAAAATCTCTACATTTTCCATCAACCTCAACTTTTGCTCCTCTTTTCCGAGAACAGAGCCGCCAATTATTCTTCACGGTTCCTTCCCCCACCTCCCATAAGGAACTGTCGACTCCAGCCTGATCACCTTCTCATGAGTAACCCATCATTCCCACGACTGCTCCATCCCTTTATCCCCTACTGCTGCAAATCTCGCGTTATCATTCACACTATTTTTCACATCCTTGCGTTTTAATAAATTCCTCCAACTGGGCTTGCTATTTAGCAACATCTTAGGAACCCGGTTTTCTTATTGTAGCTCAATTCTGGTCAAAACTCTGAAAAGAAATTAATGGGCGAAGAAGCTTCATCCTACACCTTCCTCATTTCATAACACTTTTTTCAGGACCGTCCACTCTTACATGCATCAACGGTCGATGGGTGCCGCCAGCGTTCGGCATCTGTACGGCAGGAGTGCCACCTGCACGTAAGCTTTCCACACTGCCTCTGTTTTGTTACGCTAAACTCTTGATTCAGTTGGAACCGCGCAATGTCTTCCGATGGTGCAGCCACTGGGTGCAAATTTGATATATAGCAGTGGTGCAACGAGCGCTGCACTTGCCGGAGCACAGAATCACGGGACCACAGTTACGATCAGATGCAACGCCAACTCAGTCGTGTCAGGTATGTTGTGGATTCCAGTTTCAATTCAATAAAAAAACAAAGAAAAATAGCTTTGGAACAAAGGTGAAGCAACGAACATTCATTTTGCTGGAGATGCGCCACGCATTCGACTTTTGTTTGGAATTGTGTTGGCATCTGATGCGCATTTGGTCTGTACGATCCCTTGTGGGATAACCGGAACCTTCCCTTTTCCAAACGAGTTCAGGTTCCATGGTTCTGAAAGACTGGTGAGGGAGCACAGTCAAGGCTTGAAAACAAAAGAGCACAATCTTTTTTGACGTTTTTTTTTTGTTTGATAACAAGTCGTGCTGCGAAGATTATAAGGAATGCTGAGCTGTTTGCACTTAGTACATGTGAATGCTGATAAGTTCTGGTAAATCTACCATCGAAGCTGAGTTGGGGATGAAATGGTGCCCTTGGTGGTGTAACTGGTAGCACAACTGCCCGGAAAGCAAGAGATCCGGGTAAGGCGAAAATTTGCCCACAACTCAGCATTCCTATGAGAACAATCTCTATTCCTAGAGTCGCTGACGCAGGGTTGGGGGTTTCTCAAATAACTCCAACGATATTTGCTACTCGCTATTGAAATCTTCCTACTGCGCCAGACGTTGGATGGCGTGCATCTTCTGCCCTAGGATTTCTCATGGCTTCTGTTCTGTTTTCTTTGCCTCTCTACCGTTACTTGTCCTCCTTTCTCCATCATTACTTTTTTTCCTAGATCTGTTAGAGGTATATAACTGCGAAATCGCGATTGAAATCGCACCTGTTTCAATTGGCTTGACTCGATTAGCTCGATTCGCACTGGATTGAAGGAAAGAAGTCTCAGTGACTGCTTAGGACAAACCGTGATGGTCGCTATTTGTAAGGAAGTCACGCATGATAATTGGTTCCGCTATTACTAACGTGAAAGCTAAGTGCATGGCGCATCCCAGAGAAAAGAAACAACGATCAAACGACATCTCACTGTTGAAATGCTGTAAGAGGAGGCTGAAGAGAATGCGCTCAGAGTTTAATCCAGGGTTTCGAATGAAATAACAGTTGAGGAATATGGAAAATGACCGGGGTACAGTATCTCTTGGAGTTGATTTACCCTTTTTCTTCAGGTCCAACCGTAGCAACATGTGTGAACGGTCAGTGGCAGCCGCCAACTTTGGGAGTTTGCACCAACGTCAACCGTAAGCCAATTAATTTACTACTATTTATTTCCGTCATTCCATTTACTATTCATCACCTTGTTTCTGTTTCCATCATATCATATTGATTTTCCAGCGGGCGCTCCCCTTGTTCCTGGTGCCGGTGGAACCGTCGTCAGCGGACTGTCGACGAATTCACCCTGTGGTCTGGGCGTAGTACCACCGCTGAACAGCAATGTCATCTACAGTTCGACAGCACCGTATCCCGAGGGATCTACTGCCACTTTGATCTGCAATCCCGGATATGTCGTGAGCGGACAATCTGTCGTCACGTGTCGAAATGGTCTATTCGGCCTGTTGGGATCGTGCGTCAGGATCGGCTAAAGCTTTAATATTTAGTATCACTAACGGTTAATAGATTATCTGTCATAATTCTGTTCGCTAATAAATATATTGAAAACAAGTGTTCTTAACACTTTGTTTTAGATACGCCGTGAACTTGGTTTTCACTCAAAGTCGCAGAATTGTTTGAAAATATTCGGATTACACAGTCACCTGTAGGAATAGCTACTTACTGTTTAATATTAAGTTTCCCTCATAATTAATTACAATTTGGGGAATAAGAATGGATTGAAAGCGCGGCTACGTCAGGCGGTATGCATAAGACCAAGGCGCTTCTGTGGATTTGGGAAGCTAGGATACTTCACTTGCTTATAAACAAGAGGGTCTAGAGGGTAAATTATCTGCTCTGGAAGGTCTCGTGAGGTTCCGATACGTTAGAAAGCGTAGGCAATGGCTCGTTTCCCGTCCTTATGAACTAGAAAAAAAGAACTATACGAAACCATCGAAGA